CCGGGTGCCTGTGGCAGCGGGAGGTGGGGAGGCGGGGCGTTGGCGGGGGTCGCAGCGTGCCCCCGCGGGCCCCTGGCTGCCTGGCCTGACGTCTTGCTGCTGCCCGGGGCCCCGCCGCCGCCGCCCCGCTGCCCCCGCAGGCCTGCTGTACACGTCTGCGCCTCGGGGCGAGGTGACCGGCACCGCGGAGTTTGTGGATGCGCAGAACGGGCTGCAGGCGGTGGTGCGGTTTGGGCGGGTGGAGGAGGCGGGGGCGGCGCGGTGCGCGCTGCTGCAGCGCCCCGACGCGCTGTGCGGCGCGCTCTACCGCCACCTGCGCTCCTCGCCGCCGGGGGGCGGGGTGGCTCGGGAGAGCAGCGTGGGCAGCGTGGGCAGCTCGGGCAGCTGGCCCGCGCCGGCGGGCGACAAGGTGCGCCGCGCCGCGCCGCGCTGCTGGCGACCCGCTGCCGAAACCCTACGGCAGCGCAGCCCTGGCGCTGCGCTGAGCATATGCATGTGCAGCCTTGCCAGGGCTGGCTCCTTCCCACCACCCACCACCCACCACCACCATCACCACCACCACACGTGCGGGCCTGCCCCCCTGCCTGCCTGCCTGCCTGCAGGTCAAGCGCGGCAGCCTGTCGAGCAAGGTGAGGAGCGGGCTGAGCCTGGGCCTGCGGTCCAGCAAGTCGTCGCCCGTGGTGGGGGAGGAGGGGCACCGCATCACGCTGGCGCGCTGCACCGGCAACTGGCTGTCGCACCTGGACTGGGAGGAGGAGAGGTGGGTGGGCTAGGGAGGGTGGCTGAGGACTCAATCCGGGGTTGGGAGGGGGCCTTGGGGTGGCGGGAGGCAGGGGAGCGGTGCGGAAGGGTATCCCGCCTGCCACCCCGCCTGCCACCCCCCAGCATCAGCTCCAAAGCTGCAACCTTGCCGGCCGCTGCCGCCGCCCGCCACTGCCACGCCCGGCCTCAGGTGGTGGACGCTGCTGGAGGAGGAGGCGGGGCGGTGGGAGGCGGTTCCGTCGCCGCTGCCCAGCGACTGCCGGTACCGCGAGGACCTGGCGCTGCTGGCGGAGGGGGAGGTGCGTGGGGCGCAGCGCGCCAAGGAGCTGCTGGAGCAGCGCCAGCGGGCGGACGCCCGGCTGAGGAAGGAGGCGGCGGCGGCGGCGGCGGCAGCCTCCTCGGGCTCGCACTGAGCTGCCGGGGGCGAGCGTGGAGGCCGGTGTTTTTTTGGGGGGGGGCGCGTGGCGGGGGCGCCGGCCCTACCGCCTGCGTGCCCGCCCGCCTGGCCGCCCCCGCGGCGCTCGTCCCACCGGCCTGCCGTCTCCACTGCCCCGGCCGCCTGCCTGCTGCCTTCCTGGTTACTGTTCTTGGTTACTCACTTGTTCTCATCTACCGCTCAGCACTGGAGCCCTACCATGCCACCACACACCTCTGACTTGGCACCCACATTCTTGGCCCTACCTCACGGTTCTCCCACCCTTCACCCCACTCAGTCGCTCGCTTTTCATGTCCAGGCAACACGCCTGCCGATTTCATGTACCCCAGTTTTGCATTTTTTGTGCCAGGATGGCAGCACAAGTATGCAAGTAAGAAGGAACGAAGGAGCAGGCTGGAGCCCAGGCACGGTGGAGCGAAGCAGAGGGGCAATGAGATGGATGAAATGGCTGCTAGCGAGGGCTATGGAATGAAAGGACAGCCGGCCGCGAGCCTGTCAGTGCTGCTGCTCGCGCCCCTGCTGCTGCGGCCGATGCTGGGCGGCTTGCGCCGCCTCTGCCGCCTCCGTCACGTGCGCCGCCGCCGCCGCCGGCTGCAGCCGCGCCAGCAGCGCTTTGTCGCCAAAGTGCTCTGCACCTAACACGGCGGTATGGCGGCGGGGGGGCGGCGCTGCCTGGCTCAGGCGTGGGACGGCGCAGGTGGCATGTGGCGACAGCAGCGCTTGCCCCCTGGTTGCATCCTCAGCGCCACGTGGCAGACAAGAACAGCGGTAGTGGCGATACCACCACCGCACCCACCTGCATCCACGTAGTACCGCCTGCCACGGGCCTGGAAGCTGGTCAGCGGGTGCATGCTGGCCGCCTCCTGCACCTCGCCCAGCTGGAAGCGGTCGGTGCGGGGGCGGCCCAGCAGGGTCAGCGTGGATGCCTCCACGCTGCCGGTACCACGCTCGTACCGCAGGCGGGTGACGTACGGCTGCGTGAACCAGGTGAGCTGCGGTTGTGGGGGGGAGGGGAGCGGGAGGGTGGTGGGTCACATGCAAGCCCAAC